AACCATTTCCCTCAAGAAAAAGACCAACAGAGGGTATCTTTGATCACCACATTTATTTAAATCAACATCACATGGCTTCTGTTAAGATACACTGAGAATACAGAATTCCAAAAAACGCATAGATTACAAAGCAACATCAAACAAATTCAAACTGAAGAATATTCCACAAAGAAATCAGTTTATCTTCAAAATGGCACACCACTAAATATAGAGAAAGGCTGAAGAACTGTCCATACTGAAGCCAACTAACAAAAGAACCATGAAATCTGTCATCCTGGATCAAATCCACGATCTACAGAGACATCTGAGGACAATATGAATAAAGTCTGTGGAGAAGAGAGTTTATCAATGTTGATGACTGTTTACGGGTACGTAGGAGAATAACTTTAAAAGTGTCCATCACAACCAGCACACTATTAACACACTCTGGTTCTGTGGCACATGTGGGTTAGGATGTGCAACTTGGACGATTCTCAGCTTTCGTTTGCCTGCAAACAAGCCGTCAGGAAAGGGCAGAGAGCACAAGGTAATGTGTTGACACCAAAGAATGAGAATTCACTGAGCACTAGGGAGAGAATGCATGCAGGACAGTCAAGGGACAAAGAGTCAAAACCTAGAGGAAACACAGAGCACTCAAGTGTGGGGCAAAGAGCAATAAAGGCAATCACTCTGTGTGGTCTCGGATTTGGGAAGAAATCAAGCAACAAATATGAGGCACACAGAGTAAAAAAGAAGCCTGATGCCCAGAGGCCTTTGTTATCAGAAGATGAGGGTTTGGTAACCAATTTTACTAAAACTTAACTGCAAATGCTCTGTAGTAATAAAAAGGAACACAATATTGATAGAGTGCCACAAAACAGATGACACCTCAAAAACATGGTGAATGAAATCCGACAAACACAAAAGGCTGCATAACTTATGGCTCCACTTATAGGAAATATCCACAAAAGGCTAAAAACTTAGATTGAAATTAGAATGTTGATGACCTAGACCTGGGGGTGGGAAGTGGAGTCAAGTGTAAAACTGCTCTATGCCTCAGTTTTCTCATCCAATCAATAGTAATAATAATAATATCTAATTCGTAAGGGTTCTTTGAAGATCAAATGAGATAACACAGATAAAGCTCAGAAGAATGTTCTGCAGCCGGGAGGGACTCGTAGTGTGTGAGTACACACTCGGCTTGCAAATCTGTAAGATAAATTTCTTTCCAGGCTTAAAGCTTTGTTAATATAAATAAACCTTAAAAAAGTGTATTATCACATTCATATAATAAAGTATAAACATAAAAAGTGCAAGTTTAGTTATTTAAAAATTCAGCAATAAACTATATTCCATCCTAGACCTACTAAAGAAAAGAGCTTAAAATATTTTGGGAGAACTTTTAAAATACATAAAGTATAAGAACAGAGGAAAAAGTACTAAATTACCTTATTTCCCTAAAATCCGAACTCTAAACAAAAAAATTTTTAAAATGCTGAAGCTCTCATCTCCCTTCCTTCCTCCCACCTTCTTAAATTGAACTATGGGTATGTAATTCCATAACTACATGATTTTAAGTATTTTCCATACTTTCTACACATAAAAGTGAGGAGGGACTTCCATTTTACATTTCTGCTAAAGTAATTTTTAAAATTATCAATAGCAGGAAGATGTTATCCCAACAGTAAGATCCCAGACCAACAAACTCTGGAAATCATTAATACTGGGACCAAAAATATCCCCTCTCATGGACATCCATAGGTATTTCCATGTCACGCTGTCTTTGTGATACGCTGTGGGATTGGAGCATATGGAGGCACGGAAAGTAGGCAAGTTCTGCCTTCTCAGTAGGTGTCAAGCAGTGATACAGACATTACCTTCTGAACTCTGAATCCTGTTCATGCGGCTTTTCAGCACAGGTACACAAAGTGAAAAGTTGGTAATCCACCACTCTATCAAACAAAGAAATGGTTGTTTCATTTCAATCCTTCAAAATAACTACTGCTTTGAAGACAGCCTGCATATCTTTGGTTAAACTATCTCCTCACCAGCATCAACATTTATATTCTCTTATCATCTCTCAGACCATTTATAAAAGTACTTCCTTTTACTATTCTGATTCCAGAAAACGTCTTTAACATGAGGCAAGAGTAGACACAAATTTCAATATTTAATAAATTTTATCTTGGTAACATCAAAAACACTTTAAATTGCATTATAAAAAATACATTAGTCTTCACATTAGTTTTACATGGAAATATATAGTTATTTGAATATTTAAATATAGCTTTTCTTTAAGCAAAAAAAAAAGTGTTACTCAGAGCCCTAGTTACATAAATAATTCAGATGCACAAATGCAAAAACACTTTGCACAACACTGTCCACATACTGTAAAGAACTCAGAACAAAAATCTATGCAAGATACTAAAAAGGACAAGATTAACATAATATTCATTATGGTTGTAACTTGACATTTTATCACTGAAAGAATGTAATGTATTCTTGACTACACAAAAACCACCAATTGTTTTATCTAATCTGCAAATTAAGCCAACATTTATTTAGGAAAAGGGGCATACCTTGCATCCTATCAAATTTTTAAAGTAATTCATTATCAATTTAAATTATAAATTTTACAAGTTCAGGTTTTCAAATTTGTCAAAAATAGTACCGGTTAGAGAATTTAGTAAACACTTCCAAAATGTTAAACAAAATCATCAGTACTGTATTATACTTTTATATTTTCGGTAATGTAAATTTTAAATATAAACCTTTTCCCTGTCCTGCCTTAAAATGGTACTTAGAAGAGCTTCTGTGTGTAAAATGTAGTAACACTTTTGTAAGCTTAACTTCTGATCACTTGACTTACAAGAGCTGTCCTCTCTCCCGATGTAATCACAATAGATACGATTCACCATGTCTACATGGTACATTATTTCCATATAAACTCTAACTTTCATTTTGTATGGGGGAGCAGGTGAGACAGGCTGTACTGCAGGCTGACCTTAAACTCACTACAGAGCCCAGGCTAGCTTTGAACTTACAGCAAACCTCCTGCCTCGGCCTCCCAAGTGCTGGAATTAGAGCTGTACACCACTACACCCAGCTGAACTCTTGCTTTTAAATCTACATCGAAAAACTGAAGTCTATGTCCATTAATAATACCTAAGGGAACTATGTCTGTATTCCATAGGTCAAAAAGATGCCAATACCTGCAAAGAGAATATTTTCATATATTGACTGTTTGTTTACTTCTTCATCGGTAGGACAGAGCTTTCTTCCTAAATGAAAACTGGAGGATTATTTTGAACAGGTGACCTACAGTAATATTTTAAGAACAAAAATTAAAATTTTTTTATATAGGAGGCAAGGTTGAAGAAATGCTATATAGATTGCTTTGCGACTAAGAAATACACATTTGCCCACTTTTTTCAACATAATTACTGTTTAAATTTAAAAGTAAAGAAATTACAATATAACACCATCAAAAATACCCACAGGTTAAATAATGACTCCTGAAACAAAATCACATTTATATTTCATTGATTCGAAGGTAACACATTATCTCTGAAATCAAGACACATCACAATGATTCTAGTTTCAATAAAATATAGTAGTCACACAGTGTAGGTGAAATTCTTGTTTCTCCTTAACATCAATGACAGAAAAAAAGCTAAGATCTTGTCTTAGCCAGATAATGGGATGCATCTCTCCCCGCTCACTGGGCACCCCGAAATAAAGAATCTGAATATGATCGAGTACTCTAGACTGACATCTTTTATCTAAACTGTTAAAGTCAATTAGATAGTTTAAGATAAGTTATCAAATTAGTTTACCTTGCACTACCTAATCAGTTTAAGAACATCAATTAGATAGTTTAAGATAAACTAATATACAGTTTGTCACTTGCAAAAATGGGCCTTCACTTAGGTTCCTGGATTTATTTGGGTTTTCTGAAATAGTAACTTAATAATGACAACAACTTATGGCCTGCCCAAATAATATCACCAAGCCAACTTAGTTTAAACTATTAAAAAATGATAAAGTTGTCTGGGGATGTAGCTCAGCGGCACAAGCACCTGCCTGTCAAGTGCAAGGTCCTGAGTTCAATCCCCAGTACCGGGGGGAAAAAAAAAAAAAAGATAAAGTAATGTCTAAAATAGTTTAAGCAGTAAGGCCATAAAATTACCTGGATTTTCATACCAAACCACCAACCCTACATGTAAAAGAGTAAAGGTGGTTTAAAAAAGCCTAATCATACTAGCAAAATCTTCTTCCTATTGGGATCTAATAATGCTAAAGAAGAGATTTATGTATGTGTGCATGTGTCCAAATAAGAAAAGTCACAGATTTGCCTATCCAACTTAAATGATGCAGACAGAGTTTGTGTTGTATCTACAAATGCACCAGGCACTTTTTAAGAACTGGATTAAAGATATGATATCTCATTCTCAGGGGTGCTTTTAAAAGATAAATCATATTTTGTTTCAGTTGTGATCGTTTAAGTCAATCCTGAAAGGCTGAAAGAACTCAATATAGTCCCTGCTTTGGAATTATCCAGTTAGAATCATATACTGACAGTGCCACTCAGAAAAGAGTAGAATCTAAGTGTATGGGCATTTGTTCCAATTTCTGAAATGATGACATTAATAAATTTGCTGTTTTCATTCTCTTGGTGTTACAATTTGCCAGCATAAGAGAGATTATCATAAAAAATAAGAAAGACATGATTTGAGGAACAAAATACTATGTACTGTGTTAAATTATATTATGACAAGTGAAGTTCTACAGAAAATGTTGGACAAAAGTTGCTCTGAAATCATAAAAAAAAGGAGGTGGGGGGCCCTAAAAGCTAATTTAAATGAATATAAAATTTCTGAAAAATAATATCTGTAGCAAAATATTTTAAGGTTTTCCCGCCAAAGTTGGGAAAGCTATGTGCCCAAAAGTACCAAATGTATTTTGATTGAAGTACGGAATTCTCCACCAGCCAGAACACCAACACTTCCATTTTGCCTCAATTAATTTTGTTTGCTTGAGAGTCGAGTCATCCTCCGGCTATCAGTTGGACCACCACGTGAACTTCTCAGGTTGTATTCTCTCACAAGCATGGGTGTTTTCATTTTGTAAGTGTAGGTTTTATCAGCAACTTTGTTTCTTCCTCCGGTGCTGGAAGAACGCAGCCCTTTCTTCTTAGAGCGCCCTGCGGCAGCCCTGACCCGTCCTTTCAACTGAGCCGATGGAACCGAGGAATTCTTTGGTTTCATCTTTAGGCTGACGTCATCAGGCGTTTCCTCCTCGGAATTCACTTCAAAAAGAGTGGTCCTGGTCTGGGATTTAGGACCCACAAGAACAGAATATTTGAAAGTATACTTTTTGATGACGGTATTTGCTTTTGTACGAATCAAAACTGACTGCTTCTCAGAAGTTTCTTCATTTTCCTCAAGAATGACTGTTTCACAAATGCTTTCAGGGGAACTTGTCATCTCTTCTGGAATTTTTTCACTCTCACTTTCAAAATACTCATCTGTAACTGGTTCTGGAGAGGCGCTGGCATCATCATTTGAAGGCATCAACTGGAAAGCACTAACTTTTGGAGGCTGGCACATATTCATATTGTCCATACTTTCTAGAAATACACAAGGTTCATCGCTCCCACTACATGACTTTAATGAGTACCTTGCTGTTGATATGAAAGCTTTTCGACTCCCATTATGGGTGTCAGTGCTCTTACTTGTGTTAGCGCCCCGTACGACAGCCTTCCGCCGACGGCTAACTGCAGCTTTCTTACGTAATGGCTTCTTCCGATTATTCTGTTTACGTTTGCCCACATTCTTCGATCGATTACCACAAGTGCTTTGCTTCCTTTTACGTGAGCTGGAGAATTTACCTTTCTTCCATTTTGTACCTGAAGAAGAAGGAACTGGGGAACTAGGCTGTCCAGACTCCAAAGCTTCAGCACTTGAAGTGGGAGTTTCAGCTGTCTCAACTGCAGCATCTGGTTCACATTCTTTGTTACTCTGTAAACACCTCCTTTTTGGTGATTCTTCTTCTGGGTCAGTTGCTTTTCTCTTCAATGGACACTTCTCACGATTGGTCTGAGTTGCATTGGTGGCTTTTGATGCCTGGTCCTCAGGAACCTGAGGCTGATTCTTTTTAAGAATGTCCCTTGCTACAGGACAAGGACAGTCGGACTTGTCTGAGGCAACTGAAATGTCACTAGTACCTGCAGTTTCCCTTGCAACATTGTCACTATCTGGAAGAGTCTGAACAGACGTAGTATTCTGATCAGAGCTGGGCCAGGCAGGCTTTGTTTCTTCATCCAACAAAACTTTCTTGGTTGAATGGTGCTTGTAAGAGCGACGGCGGGAAGGACCCCTCTTACGTCTCTTCCCAGGGTAGTTGGTTTTGTTGTCATTGCCTCGCACTTTCTGAGGCAATGTTTGTCCCACAACTGAAGGAGACACAGGAGGCAAGACTTCAAGGTCTGATTCACTAGGATCATCTTCTATGACTTCTGGTTCTTTGTTCAGGTTCTTCGTAGGAGGAGCCACAGAACCAGAGCTGGACAGATAATAACAGTATTCTCTCGAGTCAAAAGTTACCCTCTTCCGTGGGTGCATTTTCTTCACAGCCCGCCGACGCCGCTTGGTGTTAGCCTGAACTGAGGGACCACGCTGAAATGCTACCTGAGGACTGTAAGATGTGCCCCTCCTGCTTGCTGAGTCTGCACATTTTAGCTTCAAAGGGTTTGCTTGATCAGCTGTGCCATGGATCTCAGACTCAGCTGAGGTAGCACAGTCCACTGCAAAACCACTACTGGAGTCCCAGCTCTTATCATTTAGTTCAGTATAGTTTGGATCTTTCTGAAGACTGACTTCACTGTCAGTTTTCTGAGAGGTGCCTTCAAAATAAAAATTTCTTTCAGGACCATCAGACCCCTGGCTCTTATCTCCTGAGGGAAAAGATTCTTGACCAGGCCCCTGTGACTGGTAGGACACAGACAGATTATAGGCAGTGGCATTAACATCTACTTCGCATCCACAAGCTTGACAAATGCAGTTTCCCAGAATAATACAGTCCTTCTCCCGGTTTATTATTCTGAAAGCCTTTGTGGATTGATCTGTTGCTGATTGAAAAGCAGCTTCATATGTTAACTCAGAACCACAAAAGTGACAGTAGCTCTTTCCCACCTGAAAGGATTCTTCATTCATACTCATGGTTTCTCCCATGGTTAACTGAGGTGGGTCATCAGGATCACAAATCACTTCACGGTCACAGTCACTATCACTGACCCTCATATCCACAAACTCCACCTCTGGAGAATCAGCTTCTCCATCTGAGAACTGTGACTGGTTCACTATGATTTGAAAAGAGACATCAGAATCACACATCATTTCCAGACCACTAAGTTCATAGGTATTTTCTTCCATGTCCAAAAGCCCCCTGCTCTGAAAGCTTGTTTCGTTGGAAGTCACCTGAGGGAGATCAACTTCTGACTGCAGATGTATACCAGAATCATACTGTATTTCAGAACAATAGGCTTTATAGCTCTCATTTTCTAGGTCATTATGATCTTCCTTCTGCACATCTATTTCTTTGGCGGACACATAAGAAGAATCAACCACAAATTGGACAGGAACATCAGAATTATAGCCAGCTTTAAAACCAACTAGGTGGTAGCTCTTATTCTCCAGGCAAACATGCACCTCCTTCAGATTCATTTCCTCAACAGTTTTTTGAAGCTGACCAGGCACAGACTGACAAAGTGTATCGGAATCAAAACTCGTGCTGGGACAAGCATCGCTGCTGTTCATTTCCAAATTGGCATGCTCCTCTTCCGAACTCTGTGGTTGCTGAATGACTGGCCGAAGAGGGACATTTGAAATATAAATTACTTCAGAACCGTCGGGTTCATAGCCCTTACCAAGATAAAAATGTCCCTTCCCTGGAAGAATTGCTTGTTTAATCAGCTGTTGAATTTTATTAGTCACAGTCTGAGAGAGTTCATTAGAACCAGAATTTATTTTAGAACCACTAGGTTCACCATTCTCATCTTCCAAGTCAAGATGCTTTTCCCAAGGTTTCACCTCTTGAATGACTTTGATTTGGCCAGTAGCTGGCTGAAGGACACCAGAATCACGTGTGATTTCAAAACTCTCAGCTGCACCCCTCTTACTATCAATGTCAACACCTTCACCATTCCCAGGGGCTGTTTCTTTCCCTGTTTCCCCCAGCCTGTTAGCCACTGGTTGGACAGAGGCATCAGAAGCAGAATTTCCTTCAGAGTCACCAGACTGATCAGGCTGATCTTCTTTCCTTGACTTCTGAACAGCTATGTAAGGTCGATCAACTATTGCTTGAACCAAAAAATCTGAATCCAAATTCATTTCAGAAAAAATACTTTGGATTTTATTTCCCAAGCGCACTTGACCTTCTTGCCCCTGGATTATGAGTTGAACAGCTACTCCAGGTTGATCAGCTGCAGACGTTAGAAGAGCATCAGAATTATATGTTGCTTTTGAGCAACCAGGTACCTCTGTCTTACGTTGCAGGGTGACAGCCTCTTCCTTCCATAGATTTAGTGTGCTAATCATTTTGTGATATTGTTTAGGCAATAAGTGTTGAACAGAACTGAAACATATTTCAGAGTCACTAGGTTTGCTGCTTTTGTCTTTTGGATCGACGTATTTTTTTTTGAAAAAGATCAGGTGGGGTTGGTCAGAGACTGAATGAATAGAGCCAGTAACATCCATATTTGCTTCCAAACTGCTACATTGAGAACTTTCATATTCTGGGTAAAAAAAGTCCTCCTGAAAAACCCCTAGTGGAGAGTTCTCAGGAACTAACCAAGGAAAGTCATCAGAATTCAAAGTCAGTTCAAAGTCATCATATTTATCAGTCTTCTTTTCAATGTGCTTCTTCTTTTCTTTTCTTTTACGAAACACTTGAGGTTCTGTTACTGGACAGTCAGGGACATTAGCCTTTATTTCAGAGGCATTAAATTCAGCATTTTTGCCTTGAACATCAGCCTGTTTTTCTTTGTGAAGCTGAGTATTTTCAACAACCACTTGAGGGTTGGAAATCACTGACGGACGGATGTCAGAGTCCCCCTGGGTTCCAGAAACACTGGGTTGATCATGCTTATTTTCTAAGTATTCGCAGTCCTCTTTCTGAAAGTTTCTGTCATCAGTGAGATCTTCAGAATGTCCAATAGTTGAAAGAAAAATATCATGATTCAAACTCAGCTCAGAATCAGTAGGTTTGTTTTCTTTGTGTTTTAATTCTTGAGAACTTAGTTCTCTCATGGCTACTTGAGGAGGATTAGTCACTGAATGGAGAGGAGTGTAAAAATCCGAATTTATTTCAGAACCACTGGGCTTAGCATTCTTCCTTTCTAAGGATATGTATTCTTCTTCCTGAATGATTACTTCTTTAACAGCTACTTCGGGTTGTTCTTTTCCTGAGTGAAGAGGAATATCAGAGTCAAAACTTATTTCAGAAACACAAGATTCATCACTTTCATTTTCCAGATCAACAGGCTCTTCCTCATAAACAGCTACTTCAGGCTGGTCAATTACTGAGCAAGTAGGAATATCAGAATCAAAAGTCAGGCCAGAACTATTTGACTCAGAGCTCTCCTCTTCCAGGTTAAAGGGATCTTCTTTTAGGCTTTCAACGTCCAGCTGAGACCACTCGGAAACTGACAGAGGGGAATCAGAATCAAATGTCAACTCAGAACTGCAGGACCCACTGCTCTTAGCTTCCACGTCAACATTTAACTCTTTAAGATTTATTTCACCTAAATCCCCTTCAAGTTCATCATTAGCTGACTGATAAAGACAATCATGAGACTCAAAACTTAGGTCAGAAATGCTAGATTGAACACTCTTATTTTCTAAGTCAGTATCTACAGCCTGAGAGTTTACTTCTTTAACTGCCTCTTGAGATTCATCAGCCACTAATTGAGCATCAGCATGAAAACCCATGTCAGGATCATAAGACTCACAGTTCATGTCCACAAGGCCAGCATTCTTCTTTTTCAGAAGCTTTTTTCTTCCAACATCACTCTGGGGTTGATGAGACACTGCCTCATGAGAAACACCACAAGCAAGATGTGCTTTGGCACTACTTGGTTTACATTTCTTATTTTTGAGCTGGACAGGTCTACCTTTCTGGTTTTCTTCTGTAACAATCGGTTGGGGGCAGTCAACTCCTGACTGAGGCAAACCATCATTGTCAGAACTTGATGCGGAATAACTAGATCCATAGCTCTTATCCACCAGCCAAATGTGAGGTTTTGTGTGCTGTTTCTTTTTTGTGACATCCCCTGGGGGCTTCTTAACTACTGATTCACGTGAGGTCAAGGAAGCAGCACTTCCTTTGGAGCTGCTAGATCCATAGCTCTTATCAACCAAATTGATGCAAACCCGGTTGGGGAAGATTACATCTACATCAGGCTGTTGGGTGTTGATGTCAGTTGGTTCTACGGAGGTATCACAATCAAAATTCATTTCCGAGTCACTGGAATCATAGCATTCATCAACAAGGCTTACACGTATTGCTTCTGGAGGGCTTGCTGCTTTGACAATCACTTGGGATTGGTTGGGAACCGCCTGAAGGGAATCCTCACACTCATCCTCCGAGTTTATTTTGGAATCACAAGCTCTGTTACTCTTGTACTGTGAAGTGGTCTGTGTTTCCTCTGAAACATTTCTTTTTCTGGCAGTCATGTCAGATAGGTGAGCTGATGAAGGAGAAACGGAATTATAATCAACATTCATTTTGGAACCTCGAGATCCATCTTCGTGAGCACCTGGTTTCCCTTTCCAGAGGTGCAGCTTTTGTACAGCCTTTCGGGCTGGGACAGATGCTGACTGCAGAGAGCTGCGATCCAACTTTGCTTTAGCACTCACTGAGCCCTTCTGTTTCAAACTTGCTGGCTTATTATGAACCAGATGCTTTTCTTCCCGGGTACAACTCCTCTGTGACGGCAACTCCCCACGGCGCTTTGGAATGGCACCTTCCGAGACTCGTTTGGCAGGTGGCACATCAGGTTTTTTCAGCTTTACCACTGGGTTCACTGCTACTTTAGAAGAAGACTTCACTCTGACAGAACTCTTCGTATCCTTCGGCTCACGGAATTTAGAGGCCGGTGACGAAGTTTCACCCTGGCATTTTACATCTTTCTGGTAAAGCAACTTATTATTTAAATTTACACGTACAGATTTTTTGTTTGATTCTTTAGGATTCTCAGAGGGAACTGAAGGAGTTTCTGGACGGCATGATGGCATACGGTTTTTAGAGCCCCCGTCTAGCTGCTCAACTTTGTCAACTTTGCTCGGGTTGTGTTTGCTACGTGACTCTGAACGGATTGCTAGTGGTATCCTACTAGTACTCGCAGCAACGGGTCTAGCTCTGACAGCAACTGGTCTAGCGCTCTCAGCAACTGGTCTAGCACTCTCAGACACTGGCCTAGTACTCACAACAACTGGTCTAGGCAAACAAGTAGCAGGAGGAGCATTAAAAATCACAGAAGGACGGATTACACTTTTCCCATTATTTGAAGCATGACCAATATCTACTAGATTGATATTTCTCACACCACTCTCAATTTTATTAAGCTCTAAAGACAGCTGCTGTCCCCGCTCTAGTTTTTGAATAACTGATGGTCGAACTAAAACCTCCTTCGCAGAGTTCTGAGAGACACCGGGATGAGCACGTGACTCCTCAACAGATTCAGAACTCTCGAAGCTTTTTTCTTCAGCTTCTGGGTCTTGCCGCAGTTCCTCATCCAAATGAATCACGTCGGGTGAGGCAGACTGCGTAGGCATCTCCTGTTGTGGTCTAAAAAGAAAGGAGAAAACCCTATAAAGATATTCTATGATGGAGTTAAGATGCATAATAAATGTTATTTTCTTTCTATGCTGGGCATTCCTGACAGGACAAAGAATGAAAACAGTCACAGCAGACTGAATGCTCTGTTCCCTTTGGGAAGGTAGTCAGTGTGAAATAGGGAGGCAACTCTACCAATTGCTCCCTAATAAAACCAAATGGCTCCTAAATATGAGAAAAATGCAAATGAAATCACACATGTAGTGTTTTTCAGTTATCAGAACAGTAAATAGCAAAAAATTGGACTGACACAACTTACTTGACCATGTATGCTCCAGATTCCACTTCTGAAAAAGTGGAATGGTCTCCCTCATGAGACAATTCAGATGAGTAAATTGATAAATTTATCAAAAGCATTAAAAAGAATAAAGAGCGGAGCACGGTGGCGCACGCCTGTAATCCTAGCACTCGGGAGGCTGAGGCAGAAGGGTTGTTGCGAGTTAATTTGAGACCAGCCTGGGCTACAAAGTGAGCTCAAAGCCAGCCTGAACTGCGTAAGAGAGACCCTGTCTCAAAAAGATACACACACACATAAAAAAAAAAATAAACAGAAGAAAGATGCCTAGCACATAATAAGCATCCACAGTGTTAGGTATTATTATTTTAAGCCATGTTTCAGCAATGGTACAGGCACTTTAATGCATTGTTAGGAGGAGTACAGATTCACTTCAGATTACTAGGTAATCTTTACACAGACTAGTACTTCCGTGAAGAACAATTTGGCAATGTCAATTAAATAAATGCACACACCCTCTAACATAGTAATCCCACTTTGGGTTTATTTCATGTGTGTAATGAGAACTGTACAGGAATACAGCTGTTTTGTTTTTATTTTTGGTAATGGCAAAAGACTGAAATCCACCTTAGGTACTCATCAGTTGTGTGTACTGGTTCAGGAATTAATGGTACTTAACGGAATGCAGTGTCGATTTTAAAAATTATGAGGCAGCTCTGTAAATAAAAATGAAGATCAATCACTATAAAAATTGTAAGTGAAAAGTAAATATAGGGCCAGGGATATAGCTCGGTGGCATAAGCGCCTGCTTGACAAGCGTAAGGTCCTGAGTTCAATTCCCGGTACTCAAAAAAAAAAAAAGAAAAAAAGGAAAGCAAGTATAGGCAGCATACTAGATAACCAAAATACAAATACTAAAATAGCATGAAAAAAAAGCTATACACTTACAATATCTGTAGAAGGTTAGCGGCCTGTAGGAAAGTGAATAAGATGACTGGGACAGGAAAAAAGGAAGACACACCTTTTTCCTTTTTGCTTTTGGGGGGAAGGAGTTTTTGCTATGTTGCCCAGGGTGGGCTCAAGCAATCCTCTGCCTCTGCCTCCCAAGTAGCTGGGGCTACAGCTGCATGCCCCTGCACCTGGTTAAGACTCACTTTTGAATGTGCCTTTGAATTATATCTAGGTACATTTATTTCCCATTCAAAATTTTAAATCGCTTTTTAAAATTTTGGGGGGTTTTGTCTTTTTTTTTTTTTTTGGTTTGAGACAGAGTCTCAGTACACAGTTCAGGCTGCACTAGGAGGCTGAGGCAGGAGGATTGCCACCAGTTTGAGGTTAGCCTGAACTATATAGTGAGACCCTCAAAAAACCAAAATAAATAAATGAACTACTCAAAGGTTAGGAACTGCCACCTAACTGCTTTGATTTGCATCTTTGTGTACACATATAGTTTGTTGGTGGTATGTGTTTGTTGCAGTACTAGGGACTGAACCCAGTTTTTGCACTGAGCTACATCCCCAGCCCTTTTTAATTTTTATTTTGAGACTGGGTACATTAAGTCACTAAGTTGCCCAAAGTGGGCTTGAACCTAAAATACTCTTGCCTCAGCCTCCCAGAGTGCTGGGATTACAGACGTGTGCAACCACACCCAGAATATGTGTGTATGTTTAAGATCAACAACTAAATAATACTCCATACTCAAAATCATTTGCAATTTAACTTTACAACATAAATTCTTCTAAATATCTAATAACCAAAGGTAAAAACTACTCTTTTATATAACTCTTGGAAGGAGTTTTTAAGGAATTTTATAAACTATAAATAATAAAAATTATATATCAAAATCTATGAGTACAGTCAAGTGGAAACCTCATACTCTTAAATATTTCCATTATGAAAAAATCCATAAACAGCAATTAATGGAGCACCCAATTTAGATGAAAAACCAATCAAACTGCTCCAATAAAAAGGTAAATTATGAAAAAGAAAAGCTAGTGGGTAAAAAACAAAAATACAGCAAAAGCCGATTTTCAAGATTTTCTAAAATAAAACTACAACGTCTAGTAAAGAAAGGAACAGAAAATTATTTTTTAAAAATCACAAACCTTATCATTTAGAACTCACAGGCAAGGGAGGATGGGCATGTGCTTTTAAAAATCAAGGAAACAAAATGGTATTTCGCCTTTCGTGTGTATTTTTCTCATATATACATGCTCACATACTGTTACGGCTCTTATCTAGACATCCCCCAAAGGCTCATGCACTCATAGGCGGGGCGTTTTTGGAGGTGGCCAGACCTAGCGTGTGGGAGTATGAATTACGAGTGTGTGGTAACTGGATTAGTGCTCTAGCTGGATTAGCACAGTTCTGGGTGTGGCTGAATGGATTTACTGAAAAGGGAAACCCCACCCTGAGTGTGGGTGGCACCAATCAACAGAGTTATAGCCTGAATGGAATATAAAGGGAGAGAAAGAAGACAGGCTTTCCCCTACATGCCTGCCCTGCTTTGGGTTGTATCTCCTCTGCGCTGCACCTCTGCCACACACCCCTGCCTTAAAGCCGGTCAATTGTGGATTGAAACCTCTACAAACTGTGAGCTGAAATAAACCTTTCCTACTTTTAGCTCTGGGTATCGGGTATTTGGTCTCAGCAACAAGAAAAGTAACTAAGACACAGACACACACAAATATAGAAATTAGGCTGTTGCACGTAGTGACATTTTATATCAGGGATGAGGTACATTCAATATTTTTAAAAATTAAGTCAAGCCCTTCCTCACACCACATATAAAAACAAAAGGTGATGAAAAAATATCTAGGGGCTGGGGATACGGCTGGGTGGTAGAATGGTTGCCTAGCACATGTGAATTCCTGGCTTTGACTGCCATCCCTGAAAAACTAAATAAAACAAGGGCATGAAGAAAAGACAAAAGGACACCAAAAAGGAAAATCCTCATATTAAAAAAAAGATACTATGTACAGTTAAAAGATAACAGACTCTAAGAAAATACTCATACTTAAAACACAAGGAACTACTATCCATATTTAAATATTGTATAATAATCCAAAATATACAAATAATAGTAAAATGAGCAAAGTATATGAACAAACAATACATAGGATAGAATACGGCCAATAAATAAAAGTTCTGTTTTGCTAATAAAGGTTAATTACATATAATTTTTGGTCTATCACTGGTGGGGGGGTATGCTCAGAATCCCAGGGTTAGGGATGGTGATATAAAACGACCACCTTCATAAATCACTGCTGCAAGCGTAACTGGCGTGTCTATGTAAGGGTTTAAAATATCCACACAATTTTACACTAAAGAACAACTTCAGTAACAAAATGAATAGTGACAGGTTAAAAGTCAACCAGTGAGAGAAACAGCCTTGAGTCTCTAATGAAAAATATAACTGAACCTGAAAAAATATAACTGACCTGAAAAAATAACTGAATATGTAAATGAGGAAACAAGTAAAGCTCTTCTTTATGGCTGAACTGTGGTTAAGGTTTAGTAAACTGTTTTGGGGGAAAAAAGAAATCAATAGATGTTCAAAGTAAATGTGAAATATGAGAGACATTAACAAAGTCTCCAAGTTCTTAAGAGATGCTTTTTTTTATTTTAAAGAGACCAAAAAATCCAGTAAGAACAATACAGAATTTCATAACAAGATCCTTCTTTTCCCCATCCCAGTTGTTCTTTCCTTTTGAGCAGTTTCTTTCAAGAGACTCTTATTAATTACAAGAATCAGTTACCTTACCATAGACTAACTTGATAAATACCGCTCTAATCAAGTGACTCAATTTAACATCACCAACAAACAACAACCACGAGGCGACAATATCAGCTTTGAGACATTCGCACTCAAGCACATAACCCAAGTTTAGTCATGAGAAAATATCCCACAGACACAAATTATGGATACGCCATAAAAGTAACACAGGGTAAGTACTCTTTTTCAAAAGTCTCAAGATCCAACATAGAAAGAACAAAGGCAAAAATAAATAAATAAACAGGGAAAAAATCCCAAAAGTGTCAAGGTCTTAAATATAAAGAAATCCTAAGGAAATGTTCAAGATTAGACACTCAGGAGATAGGACAACTACACACACAGCTTGGATTCAGTTCCAGGCCAGAAACAGGGCATTAGTGGGACCACTGACAGCATTTTAAAATACTTAATAGTGTGACATTGATGCAATTTCCTACTTTAAACCATTGAACTTTGGTTTCTTTAGGCTTAATATTTTCAATTTAATAAACAGGATACAAGAATTGTTTCAGTTTTGCGCTGTTTGTATAAACCATGCGGTTCAAAGCCAGCCTGGACTATATAACAACTTTTCAAAAAAAAAAAAAGAAGAAGAAGAAGGAAGGGAAGGGAAGGGAAGGGAAGGGAAGGGAAGGGAAGGGAAGGAAAGGAAAGGGAAGACAGGCTGGGGATACAGCTCAACAGCAAATCACCTGCCTGGCAAGTACAAGGCTGTGAGTTCAATTTGCAGAACCATAAAAAGAAAGAAAGAAAGAAAAGAAGAATGAAAAATCACAAATGGAACTTACAAAATAAAATTCCACTTTCCTTTTTCTTGTATCAGTACTCCCTGTGTGCAGTACATAATGATCACGCTCATCATGGACCATGTGCACATAACACATCTTAACTCATTTTTTGTCCTCGCCCCATCCCCTCCCTCCAAACCTCTTTCCCCTCCTCATGTACAAAAGCTTTTTCCATTTTTTTTTCCTTCAAATTATTTTTCCCTTCTTTCCCTGCCCCCAACATCGCACTTCAGAGCAGTGGCGTAGCTCAGTGCGGCTGCGCTGGCCAGCATGCAAAGAGACCCCAGGACCACTCCCCGGTATCTCATAAGAAGCCAAAAAAATTCCTTTATTTTCCTTGATCTGAAGATTAACTTAAAGAAGTTTTGGAACACGAACACAAATACCGACTGTAATTTAAACCTCCGGAGCATTATTCCGCAGGGCTCGCCTACCTGCTGTCTTGGTAGTTGGACGGGTGGTGCAGCAGCACATCTTGCAGGAAGCGCTCCATCAGGCTACTGCTGCTTAGTAAGCGTTGTCTGTTCTGTCTGGTCACGCTCCTGTGCTGGGCGCTAAACAAATGCTGTAAAGAAAAACAAGGACTATTTAAGAACGAATAATAGCCATTAATAGCGAGACGGTCACAAAATAGATTCATCTATGCATTACTGGGATAAGCATGAATCTCACTGAGTGCTCACTGAGTAAGAACAGTGTCCCCGGGAACAGGAAGAGACGGGGGCACAAGCGATCCCAGAAAACTGCCCTTAGCTGTGTACCCGCGAAACACAAAAGCCAGGACTTGAATCTAAGTCTAAAATTCACTCTCTTCTCACTATACTGCACAGCAGTAGTGGTGTATTTCTAAACCGTTATTTATAATTGAATAGTATGTTTAGGCGATGAAGAACTGAAATCAGGGTGCTAGCTCTTGACCACTACGATAAGCCTTGGAATTATTTCCTTACTAGCTCACTCCAGAGATTTTCTCTAGGACTCTCTTAGCCCCATAACAACTAGATCACACCTGTCTCCCCACCACCCACTACCCATCAGCAACGCTAGAGGGGGTGGGGATTTAGCTCAGCGGCAAAGCGCCTGCCTGGCAAGCGCAAGGTCGTGAGTTCGGTTCCCGGTACTGGAGAAAAACCAAAAAACCAAAAAAAAAAAAAAACAACGCTAGACCACCAGGAGCTAAAGGGGACAAGGGCACAAGGGAACAAATAGAGTAACTTAAAATAAACCTTGTCCTCTCTTGGCCAAAGCAGAAAAAAAAGAAGCAACGTGAATAGAAAACTGCATTTCCATGAACTGCAGTAACCACCACACTATATAAATCCCAAAAGAGTCAATTTTTTAGAATTTTTTAATTGATAGGAAACATACAAAAAATACAAAAATTGAATGCATACAATTCAATAAATTATCCTAAAGTAAACATATCCATAACCAACTATGCATAAAAATCAGTAAGCACCTAGAAATCTAATGTCCCACTCCAATTGAGTATTCTTTCACTCTGCCCCAAAGGTAATTGTTATTCTGTTCTTTTTTTTCAGACAGGTCTTGCTATATAGTTCAGGCTGACCTTGAACTCACTATATAGCCCCAGCTGGCCTTGAATTTATCACCATTCTCCTGGCTCAGCCTTCTGAGTGCTGGGATTACAGGTGCATGCCTAGGATTAGATGTGCAATCCTAATTTTTGTTTGTTTTTCAAGACAAGATCTCTTGCTATGTAGCCCAAGCTGGCTTTGAGTGATCCTCCTGCCTCAGCTTCTCAAGTGCTGGGATTACAGGTATGTGTTACGACACCAAGCTCCCTAATTTTTAATTTTGTACTTTTGAAAAGTTCTGAAATGTATACAAATGGAGTCTTTTTTTTGTTTTGGTTTTTTTGAGACAAGGTCTTGCTGTACAGTTCAGGCTGCCCCTGAACTCACTATACAGCCGAGGCTAGCCTTGAACTTGTGTCAATCCTCCCGCCTCAGTCTCCTGAGTGCTGGGATTACGGGCATGCACCACCACGCCTGGTTTATAAATGGAGTCTTACAACATGTATTCTTTCACTTCCAGCTTCTCTTGCTCAACAGTGTGTGTGTGATACTCTTCCACACTCACTGCAGTCTGCTCATTTTCATGTTTGCATCCCATTGTATAAATATTTCATACTTTATTTACCCATTCTGCTCCTGATGGACATTTGTGTTGTTTCCAACATTTGGCTATTACCAATAATGTGAAAGAACCTTCTTAGGTATCTTTCAGTGCCAATAGCCATGTATCTTTGTTGAGTACATTTCTAGGAGTGGCATGTCTGGGTCATAGAGTTGGTTCTACTTGGCTTTAGTGCACACTGCAATCTAGGCTTTCCAATGTGGTTGTACTAATTTATACCCCCGCTAGTGGTGTAACACTAGTCTCCTTCCTCACCAACACTTACTATTGTCAGTCTTTCCAATTTTAGCTATGGTAGAATATGTTGGATGCTATCTCACTGTTTAATTTGTCATTTTTGTGACAGCTTTCATATTTCATAGCCATCTGGATATCTTTTTTTATGATAGGTCTGCCAAATTTCTTACTGATTTTTAAATAAATTTTCTCTTTCTTCCTGAGTTGTAGAAACTCCTTATTTATTCTGGACACAAGCTCTCTGTTCAGTTGAATACCTTACAAGTATCTTTCTCTTAGTAGCTTGTCCTTTCATTTTCTTAATCAACTTTTGTTGTTTTCTTTTTTTTTTTTTTTTTTTTTTTTTTTTTTTTGGTTTTTCTCTGGTACCGGGAACCAAACTCACGACCTTGCGCTTGCCAGGAAGGCGCTTTTGTCGCTGAGCTAAATCCCCAGCCCCTGTTGTTTTCATCTAGAATAATTTTCCTCCTGCCTGAAGAACTCCTATTAGTTTTTCCTGTAGGGAGGGTCAGCTGATGACAGGTTCCCTTAATTTCTGTCTCCTGAAAATATTTTTATTTCACCTTACTTTTAAAAGATATCCTTAATGAGCAGAGAATTCTAGGTCAGGAGCTGTTTCTTTTGGTTTCCACTGTTTCTATGGAGTACTTCACCAGACGCCATATTTCTTCACTGCCTTAGTAGTTTTCCAAAGTCTTGAAATAACTTTTCAAATTAATACAAATTACCTTGACTACCATCAATAGAATTTTTTTTTTTGGAGGTTTTGAACATCAAGCCCAGGGCTTTGCTCATTCTAGGCAAGCGCACTACCAGAGCTACAACCTCAGCAACAGAATGTTTTAAAAAGCTAATTTAGTGTAAGAGTAACCAAATAAGTAAGAATTATTATTTTAACTGTTAGGCAAAAAAATTGTACTAAGAGCTTATTGAATAGAATCTGTAGTTAAATAGTGAACGCTTTACTACTGTCATAGTTTCAACAAGTAATCTTCCAGTCAAGTAATGGTAAAATTTATTAAGCATGAAAAATACTAAATGTAGCTTTGAGTTATTGTTTTTTGCCTCCTCCTTTTCATGACCAGCATTTTAAAAAGTATTTCTTTTTTAAAAGGTAGAGAAGTAAAACTTACAAAAAATAAAAACTTTTCTTAGAAATTAAGTGTTTACTATTAAATAATTTTAAAATGCGACCACACAGCAGTATAAGTGTACATTATACACTTATCTTAGTGTCATATAAGCTGTAACATTTTAGCATTAGTAGAACCAGAATATCATTGTATTATCACTTCACCTATGACATCATTCCATTACTCAGATCCTGAAGGAAAAACTTTAGACTCTTCTGAGTTAATAAGTCTAGTCAGAAAGCTACAGATATTATTACCGTGTATACTTATGTTGCAATCTCCATACACAATGCTTCATAAACTCTTTTGACAAAAAGAGAAAAGAACTCCATTCAGTTCATTCTATAAAGTTGATGTTACCCTAGTGCCAAAAGGCACCACAAGAAAACAAAGTTAAAGAACCATATTCCTTTATGATATACATGTAAAATTCCTCAAAAGCATATTAGCAAACCAAATCCAGAAATGTGTAAAAATGATTCTACACCACAACTCAGGAATGCAAGGTTAACACCCCAGAATCACCTAGTGTAATTGCCACAGAATGAACTGAACTTCTGCAGAACCAGTATATTGAAGTTTTCACCTCTACAGTGACAATAGTATGTTTGGAGACAGAACTTTGAGGAGATAATTAAGATTGAATAAAACCATAGGCTAGGATCCTAATCAGGCATTTTAAGAAGAGGAAGAGAGATCATTCCCTCTCTCTTCCAAGTACAAAAAGGAAGCCATCTACAAACTAGGAAAAGAGCCGTGGCCAAAAAAAAATTAGTCTTGACCTTGTACTTCCTAGACTTTGAACCTGCAAAATAAATTTTAGTTTCTTAACCTGTCTAGTCTATGATATTTTTATTATGGCTGCCTGAGCTAATACATTGATAAACTAAAATAAGCCAAAGGGAAAAAAAAAAAACGTACTTGTCTAACAGATACAAAAAAGCATTTGACAAAGTCTGTACCCTTTCATAATAAAATACTCAATAATCTAGGCACAGAAGATTATTTTGTTAAGCTAGTAAGGTCATCTAGAATAAAACCAAAACTAATGTCACACCTGAGTAACAGAATGAAAGCTTTCACCCTAAGATCAAAGGAGACAAGGGTATTAACAAGAAGCACTGGCACACTTCCCTCTACAAAAAGGGACCCAAATACACACATGCAGACACACACAAAAAAAAGCCATTTCACTAAAGTGTTTGAGGCAGAGCACCAGGGTAAAGTGAGGATATAGCAGAGATGTCCCACAGCATGGAGAGTCATAAGGAAAGTATGTTAGTCAGTATTCCATGACTGTAACAAATAACCATTCAGCAATCAACTTTAATTATTATGAAGTTCATTAAAATTTAATGCAGGATTTTTATTTAAAAATTGTTCCATTTCCAATTCCTTTATCTCAATTGAAATGGAGATTCTACTTTTAGACTAAACAGATTGTTCAGACAGGCTATAAAGATTTAAAATAAATTGTCTCAGCTGGGCATGGTGGTGCATATCTGTAATCCCAGCACTCAGGAGGCTAAGGCAGGAGGATCACTGAGAGTTTGAGGCTAGCCTGGGCTACAAAGTGAGTTCAAGACCAGCCTGAACTGAACTGAGTAGCAAAATCCTGTCTCAAAAAGACCCAACAAGACAAACAAATAAATAACAACAACAACAAAACACCTCCCTGTAAGTATCTTTTAATAGCCAGGCATGATAGTACACATTTGCAGTCCTAGCTACCAGGAGACAAAGGCAGAAGATTCACAAGTTTGAAGCAAGACTAGGCAACTTAGTGAGAACTTCTCTCAAAAAAAAATACAATATAACTAATATAATATAATATTAGGGCAGAGGAAGTAACTCAGTGTTGGAAAATTCATCTAACATGCCTGAGGCCCTGGATCCAGCCCTAGTACCACAAGAAACAAAAAGTTCCTCAAATGTAACTAATAAAGTTTCATTTTCCCTGTAAGCACAAGGTCCCAAGTTCAATTCCCAGTACCAAAAAAAAAAATAAAATAAAATAAACAACATTCTCTTAAATAATGAGCCAATGAAGAAAT